TGTTCAGTACACATGTATCCAGCAGGAGCTATTCTGGCCTCCACCCTTCCCAATATTCATTCTTACTCTAGCAGAAAAGCAAATTTTTAGGATTCATTTATTTTTTCCCTGCTCGAAAGCTAAATTTAAAAATCAAACAGGATGCACGTGAGAGCATGGTCATCGAATGCTGCTCTGTCATCTAGAACAAGTGTCACCCCAGTGCTGCAGCCGTGGAGGAAGCACCAAAAAGCACATTTGAAAGCAGAACTGTCAAAATTGGAGTAGGTTTCGGAAGGGCTATATCACTATTTCCTTCCTTCACATCCAGGGCTGTGCTCATGATTTTCCATAGGAAATGATGGAAATTCTTGACATTCCTATGGAAATAACTCTGTCAGGGTAAGGGAGGTGTTTCCCAAAACATGTCGCCCAGAGTGCTGTTTTCAGCTCACAAATACATAATACGACTGAAATAGATTTGGAAATGGCTCTTTCTGAATGCCCATTGCTCTAAAATATCCGTGGTGTGCTGATACTGCAGCTGTAGCAGGACGATGCATATATTTCACCTGCAGTCTGACAGCTTCAGCAGCTGCCTATGGGAATCCCAACGTGCCGTGTTTGGGAAAGGACAAGCTTGTCCCGGGCTTCTGTGTTGGGTGCTTTTGTAGAGGCCTTTCTGTGGCCACGTGGCTTGCAGTGCCTCCCAGAGAGCCCTGGCCATGGGTGCCACTACTAATGTAGCCCCACGGTCTTCTGAGATGGGCTGAGCATCCCACAGGCCTCCAGCTTGAGGCAGAAGGACCAGATTCAGCTCCTTCCCCATCTTAGAGCCTGGGACTTCTGCACCGTGGCAGTTGGGAGAATTAAGAGCATTTGGGCTCATTCAGTGTCATGCTGCTTCTGGACAAAACTGGCACGCTGCCAGTTTAGGGGTGTTTAGGCAGTACCAGAGCGGAGTGAACCCACTTTCTCCTTTCCAGGGATCCCATCTGCACCCACCAGCGTGCACGTCCTGAACAGAACAGCCCACAGCATCGCGGTGTCCTGGGTCCCAGGCTTTGATGCATTCTCTGCTTTTAACAACTGCAGCGTCCAGGTGAGCACGTGGCCCTTGTCCCTACAGCCTGCTCGTTGCTGGATGTTCAGGTGGGAATCAGTGCTCTTGCACAGTCCTGGTGTGAACCAAGGCCATTAGTTTGGATAAACTGAGTCGGAGTTTTCCAGAGGTTTTAAAAGAATTGTCTTGGATGGACCTGCCACCTGGGTAGCCAGCAGATTTATGGTTACGTAAGTGCAATTCAGACTCAGCAGAGAGCAGAGGCCCTAGGCTGGGACCTGGGGGAACTGGAGCAGTGTCCAGGAGGGCAGGAGGCTTTCAAGTTGCTCCTGAAGATCAGCTGTGGGCTTGGTTGTCACGAACTACAGGGCAGAGGGTCTGCAAGAAACATCCCACAGAGAAGCCAACATAGGGAGCTGTGAGGCAGGTTTTTGTCCCAGGAGCACTGTGGTTGAGTGGGACAGGAGCAAGGGGCAGTAGGAACAGCAGAGCCCACCACTGGGAAGTGCCCACGTGGGCTTGTGCCTGTAATGTGTGCAGGAAGAAGCTGCCAACTTTTGCCTTTTAGCCAGCTGTGCCATCCAGTTCAAGGGCAACTCTGATGGCCACTGGCTTGCAACCTCCCCAAACTGGAGTTTCATCATTTACAAATGAGTCTGTATTTATTAGCCTTGATTTCAGAGCAATTTACCTTAGGCACTTATTTCAAAAGTTGCATCTCCTCAGGGCAGACACAGTTATCTGCTTTAAAAAAGTTGCCTTAAATTTGGTTGATTGGAAGAGAACAAGTTTTTGAATCTGGATGCCAGTGGTGTCCACTGAGATCAGGGTTCAAGTCTGGCCCAATACCCTCCTGTTACCCTCTGACACCGTCTCGTTAGTCAGAGCTTTATTAGGATGCACTAATGGGCAAAGGGCTACCCAGTGGAAACAACCAGCAAGACAGACTGTTTCTTCCCATTTCTTCTCAGCAGTCTCCCCCAGTGCTGTGTGACATCTTCAAAAGTGAAAGGACAGAGAGGAAAGGGCTCCCAGAGGTAATTTGAGCGCAGTATCTGCCGTTCTGTTCCTGTTGGAGCTCAGGAAGCCGGGTGGAGGGCCAAAGAATTTCCTATGACTTAATGTTCACGGTCTGTCATTAGGAAGTAGCCTTTCAAATTGGAAAAGGAGACATATTCCTGGCAAAAACATAACGGTGACTCAGCCTTTTTGCCCCTGTCCCCTTTGATAACCCCCTAGTTTGGGTAATGTGGCCCTGGTGTGGGCAAGTAACTAATTGCTGAACAGGTGAGTGCTTAAACTGGAAGCTGTTCTTATCACTCCTAACAAGTTTCAGCTGTTTAAGTTCATAAAGGGCCTCTTTTTGTTTATTTTTTTAATACACTGATCTAATAGATTGTTTGTGGAGAGAGAATTTTAGGATAGAGATAAATCAGCTGCCTGAGAAGAGCGGCCAGTCTCAGTGGTGTCTCCAGGAGCTGCTCACATGTTCTCCTCATGGCTGGTCCCCACATTGAAGTATTTTGCCATGGCTTTTTGACCTCCTGAGTCCTGATCCTATCTGCTTTATGAGACTGAAGAGTCCATCTTTTCCATTTTTGCTGGAAAATATTCACAAGGTCAGTGTTGAGATTGTCTTGTAGGGCTGCCCTGTAGGAGCTCTTGGTCTTCAAGCACAAGGACGGGCTGCCTGCTCTCCCCACACTGTTACAGAGCCTTTAGGGAGGACTGTGCAACTTGGTCCTTGTGATCCACACTAAAACATAGGTGAGATGAGACAAAACCTGCCCAGAGCTGGGAGAAAGCCTGTCCCTTCAAGGCCATTTCATCCCAGCTTGGGTTGCCTTCCAAATTCATTGCCTTACTCGCACTGGTGTCCCTCATTTTTGCAATCCTTGCTGTCCCAAGCTGCCCCCAGAGCTGGGAGAAAGCCTGTCCCTTTCATCCCAGCTTGGGATGCCTTCCCAATTCATTGCCTTGCTCACACTGGTGTTCCTCATTTTTGCAATTCTTGCTTTCCCAAGCTGCTCTCATGATAACAGAATCATAGAATCATTGTGGTTGCAAAAGACCTTTGGGATCATCGAGTCCAACCATAAACCCTTCAGCACCAAGCCTAGACCATGGTACTTGTTTGGTTCCCAGGACTTTGCTGATGCCCTTGGTGGCAGGTCCAGCCCATGCTGGGGCACTCTGGAGAGCTGCATGGGGGTTGTGTGCTCTTACATGGGCACTTACAGCCCAGCACTTCAGGGAAGCTCTTCAACCAAGCTGTTTTCTACTAGACCTTTATCTCCAATAGCCCCTGCAGCCCAGTCCACCCTGAATTTGTCTAACTCTCCTCTGAGCTGGTTTATAATCTTGGCTTCTGCAACATCTGTGACAATAAATCCTCTAGTATAATGATGTGTTCTATGAAAAAAGAAAAGAAGGACTTGACCTGGTTGAAACTTGCTGCCTGGTAGTTTTCTTGGGTGCTCTTTTCGTTTCTTATGTCACAAGAAATGTCATTTTTTCCCTTCGCTTTCCACAGCAGTCACAATTTTGCACACCTCTGCCTTGCCCCTGCTGCAACTGTTTCTCCTCTCGTGTTTGAGACCCAACCTTGGGCTCTGTGAGGAGTGGCCTGCTCTGGGCTTTGCACTAAGTATAGATGAGATGGCCTCCAAGAGCAAAGCCCTGGTGCTGTTTTGCTGAAAGAGCGAGACAGGCAGAGCGCTGTCTCCTGTTTACAGATGTGAAATTCCT